CCTAAAATCAACATCACCCAGGAGTATCACCAGGAGAGGTTTGCAGTCCTGGAAAATCCTTATTCCCTGAGAGGCAAGAGGTGATGAACCACACATGGAAAGTGAAATGGGCTCATCCTTCCCCCACACCATCACACCCACATTTCTTGTGTCATTTTCAGCTGTATCTGAAAACCACTCACCCTTCCAAAACCCTTCAATTCCCAATTTATTAGGACTGCACAACTGCACCAACAAAAAAGATGGACAACCTCTGGGGATGCCTTTCTCTCTCACTCACTCACTCACTCACTCACTCACTCACGTTTCTTTTCTGACAAAGGACTCCAGTGGGAATAGTCACCACCTTATCTGGGCATCCAAATTTCTGCTGGAGTCCACAGAAACACACAAAACACAGGATCACATCCCCATAAATTGCAGCAGACAAGCAAATTGCATGCTTGACAAATTGCATGCAGACCACAGACTTGATCTTTAGCAAAAATCAAAATAAAAAATGGCAACAACGTTATACTTTAATATCCTTAGAGCATTGTTAGACATTTAAAAATGAAAGCACGGGTTAGCCCAAGTCAGCCAAAGGCCTCAGCACAACAAAACCCAAGCAAGATCTCTCATACAGGAGATAACTTGAAGAAAATAAAGGCTGAAATTCTACTACTAGATTTTTCTAATCCAACTCTCATGCCTTTTCTTTGTCAGTTTTCTCTAATTCTGTGTTTGCATCATCTATCACTTATGAATTCTACTGCAAAGAATAAACAAATAATAACAATAAATATGTGTACAGAATGAATGGGACGATTAAGCAGAAAGAGAGAATTTGTTCTCTATTCATTGCTACTAACATTTTGATACTTATTACCTTTTTGTCATTTCAGCACCTGGGATAAAAAAATTAAATGTTGAGTTTTTACCTCTATGTCAGCTTTCTATGAAAAGTGAGAGTAATTTCCCAACACAGACTTTCTTTCAAATTAAAGTTACAGTACAGTAACACCTCATGGCACATACAATATGCTCAGGATACCTCCCTTGAAGATAAATAAACTTGTAAAATATTACCTCAAATAAAAGTTTAACATTTGTCATGTTTAATCAGCAATAAAAAAATCAGACATCTAATTCTTCACAATTTATCCTTCACCAACACTATGTCACTTCCAAGTTGAAACATGGAAAAAAATTTGACATTTGCAGGCAGCGTGGCAGAAAGGCAGCCTGCCATGTTATCAAAATAATTTATGTTCTAAAATTCCTGTGAGTCCAACATGAAAATAACATCTCCACCATTCCAGCTCTGAGTTTAGACAACTCCAGTGTTACTCGATATGACACACTCAGGGACAGAAATCATCTTAAACTGACACCGATGGTCCCCCGAGCTGACAAACACGAGTTGCTAAAACTCTCCATGTGCTTCATTTTCCGTTCCAGGGAGCGATGTTTGAAACAGGAAAAGGGGGTCAGATCTGGGAGTAGAAGAGATTAAACTGCAGTTTTGTTTTCCTCCTTTTTGGGCTAACCTCTAGTATCAATCTCAGCCTGCTCTAAATTATGTCCAGCTGTCTGTTGCCCCCAGGGACAATTCTAGCAGCCAGAATTACTTGGGAGTGCAGTGACATTTTAACCACACACAATCTTCCTTCAGCCTACCTATCCTTGGGTTTTTGAGGACAATGGGGGGTGGCAACACATCCTGCCAGGAAGAAAAAATGTGAACATTGAAGTCGTAAACACATTCGAGCTAAAGAATTTATGAAAACTGTGGGGTTGAAAGAAAGCAAAAACTGAGATGTGACAAAAAGTTCACTAAAGCAGTAGGGAGGGAATAGAGTGCACAGTTTTCAGAAGGAGCCAAAAGTAAGGAAAAAAGGAAGATTAGGGACCAGCCTGACAGGGCTTCAATTGTTGCAGGGGTTGGGCTCAGCAGCGCCAAGCTGCTCGTGGCCAGCATGGAAGGAGGGATGGTTTGAGCACTGGGACATCTTCAGGCACCCCAGATATGTAAATAAATTGTCCTTCAGCTCATTCACATACCTCACACTCCCATCAGCATTTCCAAGCGTTTAAGTGCTGCTCTCCCGCACCAGGCAAGTTTCCAGTTGTCTCAGCAGGGAATATCTCAACTACCAAATCATGGACTGAGTCTCCTACCTCCATTTGAAGGACTGACAACCATCCTTGGCAGAATGGGGCATTTCAGCAAATGTGTAACACTGGCTGAAGCCAAGGGAAGGGGGTCCCTGCTCAGCCAGCATTCAGACATCCTCCAAAATGATGTTCCTGCTGTTCTCTGCTTTGCAGAACATCTTTCCAGAGGGAAAAAACCCAACTGCAGTCCTGTAATACAGGCAGTGTTTTCCTATGTGGTAACTTAAGACAAGAGTTTTAAAAATTTTTACTTCATCCAGAACCCAACAGTTTAAATTCTGTTCTCTTTGCGTGGCATGGATGAAAATGCCACAATTTAAATGACAATGCAGAACTCACTAAGTAGTGTTGCCAAGCAGATAAAAGCAATTATGATGCTGTTTTGCATTAATGAGATTATTAAAAATACCTTCATTTCTTTCTACAAGCAAGAAAGAATAAAGTTTAAAATAGATGAGGGACCACATCACAAATAGGAATCCAATTTACACCAACAGAAGTGAACAACTCAGAGCCAATCTAACACTGTGAAGCTGTATTCCTAAATAATGAAATGCAGGCTTTAAAGGAATCATTTTGGAGCAGGAGAATGTGTGTCAAAAGACAGCCCATTAAATATGAAATAAATATGCACACAAAAGTACATGCAAAATGTCCTATAATGTAGTGAACTTAGATTTTCTTTATTACACCATGTTGCTTCTTCTGTTCTTTATTTACCAGTGAGGTGTGTGGAATGTAAGTACATTTTCAGGAGTCCCACTTACCTGTAAGCACAGAAACTGCAATGAAGGAGGGAAAATCCTGCCTTCTCTCACAAGCACCTAAAAAATAAAAGACAGGCAACATATGGTTGCAGCTACAAGTATTCCAAAACTACCAGCTTGGCTGATTCTAGAACAGATAAGAAGATTTGATTCAGAGACAAAATTAATGAGCACTATACGGCCGTCCAAAAAAGAACTCATGCTTTATGTAAGATCAACTATAATTTAATGTTAAGAATGTTAAGGGATTGTATAGGAAAGCCATTCTCTAGGCCAGCAGTGTGAGAGGTCAGCAGCCTAGCAGGACATTTTTTCAGCTTTCCAGTTTTCCAGGCCCTTCAAGATCTAAATTAAGGAAGCAAAAACTTATTTTAAAACTAAAGACCTCCTGTTGAACTACAGGAACAGAATAGAGTTGCTCTATGGTGTCACAGGCCCCCCAGAAGCAAAACTGGAGAATTAAATAAAGATCTAGCGAACACATTTCTGGGCACCTTCTCCTGACCTAAACACTCCAAAGCTTCTAAATCCCTGCAATGCCTCCTCATCCTTCCTTCTATACATGAACCTTCCCCCTGGGTGTGGAAATAACAGCATTTGACAGCCTGAAAAGGTTTTTAGAAGTGATGATTGCTGAACTGAGGCCGTGCTGAGGAACAGGCATTGCCTTGTGGAGGGCTCCTTGTGGCTTCCATCTACCAAAGTTCTAATGGCCACAACACATCAGTCCTGCTATTTTAAATTTCTAGGGGAGGTTTTGATTAGATATTACTGAAAAAAAATGTCCAGGAAAGGGTTGCAAAGCACTGAAAGGGGCTGCCCAAAGCAGTGGTAGAGTCACCACCCATAGAAATGTTCAAAATTGTGTGGATGTGGGATGTGAGGGCAAGAATATTGGAAGTAAATTCTGTTTGCAACCAAGCGAAGGGAAAGAGATCTAAAGGCCTTTTTGTAAATTAATTTTCTTTCAAATATGCTCGTGTTCAGTGTTTGCCTTGCATAATGCATGTCATGGAAGGAGAGGAAATTACACAAGCTTGGACTGGGGAAAAACCCAGTTTTCCAGTCTCATTCCCACATCTGGTTATAGTTATAATTGAGAACAAGGTAGCGATGGACCCGATAATCTTAAAGGTCTTTTTTCCCCAACCTCAACTGGCTTACCCAACTTAATCTGCCTCACGACAGACCCCAAAACGACGGCCGAGCTGCGCTCCCTCGAAGATCCCGACGGGGACACGGCCAGCCGGGGCACCCGAGCGGCGTGAGGGAGCGGCTCCGGGGGCCGCGGCCGCCTTCCCCTCACGCTTCCCGCGCAGGGCGGCGGGGCCGTGCCCGCGGCGGGGCCGTGCCCGGGGNCAATCTGAACCTCTGTAGGGAGCTGGAGAACAGCAGCACACAGTCATCACAGAGGGGTTTCCAGGGCGGGATTGCAACCTTGCATATAGCCAGCTACAACTTTATTTTCTTTACCTCCCATCCCCCGCCTTTTTTTTTCTTTTTTTTTTTCTTGTCAGAGAAAGGGGAAAGAGAAAGGGAGAGGGAGGGAAAATTGTATTTGCCTCCTTTGGTAACCATAATTGAATTAAAGTTGTAAAATGTCTGGGAGTTTAACACTGACCGGGCAGGTTTTCAATAGGTTGTCATTGTGGGTTTTTTTTTCTTCTCTGAAGAACTGTTGGTTAATGGATGAATGGATCTGATCAAGCTGAGAAAAAATATGCTAGATACATGCCTTTGAGTAAGATTTCTGCTGCCTTTATGCAGTGAAGCCTTTTTGCTTTGAGTAATTCCGATCCAGTTGACGTCTGGTCAGAATTAGAGAGAGATTCACGGAGACTTCCGATTTCTTGCTGCATGATTGCCTTTGCTGCAAGTGCTAGTTTTGCAGCCTTGAACCTGATGCCACAGGAGATGTCTTGCAGTACTGAGACTTCTTGTTTTTTAGGATGCGTTCCTCCAAACCAGAGTTGTGTCATGAGGATTGGAGCTCTGAGGTGGACGATAGAAAATGCAAGCCTGCTCCAAGATCCCAGCATTTAAGCCTGATGATTTATTGGTCTTCCCCTACCGACACACAAAATGCATTTATTTTCCCTATTCATACTGCTTTTAGACTAGCAGAAGTAGAAGAAAGCCACGAGGAGTCAGAAAGATGGCAAAAAAGGAATGGATTTGTTTCCAGCTAGGTGGAATTCAGGCATTAAATTACTGACGTAGGTCAATGGTAGGGTTTCCCTTCTACCCTCCTTGGCTTTTAATCAGCCTGGGTGTTTTCTCCCATAAAGGATGAAGAGCACTGACAGCCATCGCTGCTTATAATCAGTAACTCTGATGTTTGGAGTGTTGGCAATGAGATATTTTCATGAGACCTATTTAGATCTCTCCACTTCTACCAGGCTAGTTTTGCAGAACATTGGGAATAAGCGCTATGTCAGATATGGATGAGACTCCGAAGATGACCTGCATGTTTTACGTTTTTCACAAATTTTGGGTGAGTGGTTAAAACATTTCTTCAGAGTGTGTGTGTGTGTGTGTGTGTGTGTGTGTGTGTGTGTGTATGTGTGTGAGAGAGAGAGAGAGAAAACAGAAGACTTGTGCTTGAAATGAGCTCTGTTACATTGTGTATAACTTGGGAGAGGATCAAATATCTGTTATATATTATTTGCTTTTGTAAAGATACAAAATTTCCGTAATTGAAGAGAGCTGTTAAGTGCACTGAAGTAGGAGGTTAATGTATTTAATCTCATTACAGAAGAATTCCTGCACAAAAGTCATCTGGGGGTGCGCGCGTGTGTGCATGTGTGTGCGCTTGTGTGCATGTCTGTGTGGGTGGGTGTGTGCTTTGTAAATGTATAGCTAGAAAAAAAACCACCAACATAAAAGAGTTTTAAGAAATGTGTGATGTGGAGAATGTGTCAGTATTCCCTCTGTTGAATTAAGATGCCATTTTCAGCACTGAGCATTTTTCTTTGGATTCCTACCATGGTATTTCCACCACCGGTTAAAAATCAAGGTAAAAGGAGGGGAAGACCTTGGTGCACTGGTTCAGCAGGGAGGTTCTGAAGGGAAGAGGGAGCTGGGGAATAGGGGAGGTGGGAAACCTTGTAAAATGGTGTTTCTTTTCTCTTAAATTAGAAACGTGAAACTGAACTGACAGCCATTTTATGTATATTTATGGGGCTGGTTGTGAAAAGGAAATCCAGAGAAGCATTGAAATTCACCCCACACTAACAGAATCAGAACAATTCCTACTGTGACCTCACCTTTTTAGACACTGAAGGCATTTGACTCGCAAGGAGCTGCCTATCAACCCTTTAATCAAGGCATGTCAGCCAGTTTCCCAAAGTATGGGACTTAGAAGTGACAGGAGGGGGGGATTTTTTGATAGGTGAACAATCTATTCTCTACCCCACTGAAGACATATATAAACTTTGTTTCCATTTTGAATGTTATGGGGCTACCCTATCCCTATTATGCTATTTTCTTTTTTTTTTTTTTTTTTTTTTTTTTTTCTTCTCCTTATTCTTACAGGAAATAAAATGTATGCTTGCTGCTCTACAGTAACTTTGGAACAGGACCTCAACAAAAAAATGCATATCTGGATGCTGCAGACGATCGCATTTGCTTTAACATCACTAGTCCTTTCCTGGGCAGAAAGCATCGAGTATTATGGGGAAATCTGTGATAATGCGTGTCCTTGTGAGGAGAAGGACAGCATCTTAACAGTGAGCTGTGAAAACAGAGGGATCATCAGCCTTTTTGAGATCAGTCCACCAAGGTTCCCCGTTTACCACCTCTTGTTGTCTGGGAACCTTTTGAACAGGCTGTACCCAAACCAGTTTGTCAATTACACGGGGGCTTCAATTTTGCATCTGGGGAGCAATGACATACAAGACATCGAAACTGGGGCCTTTCATGGTCTGAGAGGTTTAAGGAGGCTGCACTTGAACAATAACAAGCTGGAACTTTTACGGGATGACACTTTCCTTGGGCTAGAGAGTTTGGAATACCTACAGGTTGATTATAATTATATTAGCGTCATTGAACCTAATGCCTTCAGCAAACTGCATTTGTTGCAGGTGCTGATTCTCAATGATAACCTCCTCTCCAGTCTGCCCAACAACCTCTTCCGTTTTGTGCCCTTAACTCACCTGGACCTGAGGGGCAACCGGCTGAAGCTGTTGCCCTATGTGGGCCTCCTGCAGCACATGGATAAAGTGGTGGAGCTGCAGCTGGAGGAAAACCCCTGGAATTGCTCCTGTGAGTTGATTGCTCTAAAGGATTGGCTGGACAGTATCTCATACTCCGCTCTGGTGGGAGATGTGGTTTGTGAGACCCCTTTCCGCTTACATGGTCGAGACTTGGATGAAGTCTCTAAGCAGGAGCTCTGTCCCAGGAGGCTCATCTCTGATTATGAAATGAGACCTCAGACACCATTGAGCACTACAGGGTATTTCCACACTACCCCGGCCTCAGTCAACTCCGTGGCCACTTCTTCTTCAGCTGTTTACAAATCTCCCTTGAAGCCCCCCAAAGGGACCCGCCAACCCAACAAGACAAGGGTGCGCCCCACCTCCCGCCTGCCCTCGAAAGACCTGGGATACAGCAACTATGGCCCCAGCATTGCCTACCAGACCAAATCCCCGGTGCCTTTGGAGTGCCCCACTGCCTGCACTTGCAACTTGCAGATTTCTGACCTGGGCCTCAATGTCAATTGTCAGGAGAGGAAGATTGAGAGCATTTCTGAACTGCAGCCCAAACCCTATAATCCTAAGAAGATGTATTTGACGGAAAACTACATTGCGCTGGTACGCAGGGCAGATTTTGTGGATGCCACTGGGCTGGATTTGCTGCATCTGGGCAATAATCGCATCTCGGTCATTCAGGACCGGGCTTTTGGGGATTTAACTAATTTGCGAAGGCTGTACCTGAATGGGAACCGGATCGAGCGGCTGAGCCCAGAGCTGTTCTATGGGCTGCAAAGCCTGCAGTACCTCTTCCTGCAGTACAACGTCATCCGGGAGATAGAGGCAGGCACCTTTGAATCTGTCCCCAACCTTCAGCTCTTGTTTTTGAACAACAATCTGCTGAGGTCTTTGCCAGGGAACATTTTTTCTGGTCTGTCTCTCTACAGGCTGAGCCTGCGGAGCAACCACTTCTCCTACCTGCCAGTGAGCGGGGTGTTGGACCAGCTGAAATCCCTGCTGCAGATCGACCTGCACGAGAACCCCTGGGACTGCACCTGCGACGTGGTGGGCATGAAGCTGTGGCTGGAACAGCTCAACACCGGTGTCCTGGTGGACCAGGTTATCTGCGAGTCCCCTAAGAAGTTTGCCCAGAGCGACATGCGGGCCGTCCGGGCGGAGCTGCTGTGCCCCGACTACTCGGACATCGTCGTCTCCACGCCCACGCCGTCCCCGGGCCAGCTGCCAGCCAGGACCACCCCCTCCTCCTCCACGGTGCGCCTCAATGGCACGGCGGCGGCGGGCGGCTCCGCGCCCGCCGGACCCGGGCAGGGCTCTGCCCCAGCCGGTCCCCGGCAGAGCCCGGCAGGTGGGGGGTGTCCCCCACGCCTTGCTTTCAACGAAAAGTTATTTTTCCGCCCCAAAGCGTGGCCGGCCGGGCAGTGCCGCTGCCCGCGCCTAGTCCGGCGCTGCTCCCGGTGAGCGCTGGGGTGTTTTAAACTCCATTGACTGGTTATTTCCGCCCCTCTCTCCCAGCTGGATAAAACCCCCGGGCTGGGAAGCGCGGCCAAGCCTCACCCTCTCCTTGCGGGAGCGAGCGGGCAGCGCCCGGCCGCCTCTCCCAGGTAGGGGCTGGGTGGGCTCCCCGGGCAGGACCCGCTCCCGAGGGTGCCGCAGCCTCTTCCAGCAAAGCAGACCGCTAAAAGCATTCCTGCTTGATTTGTTTTTCCTTTCTTTCAAGGTTCACGATGTTGACAGCTATGTTCTTGGCTGCGATCATTCTTATTACAGTACATTCGCAGGAAACTGAGGAAACCATAACGTACACGGTAAGGTTTAATAGACTTGGAGATAATTACTGCTTTGCGGGGATTCTTTGCTAAATGACCCTTAAGAAAAACCGAATTTCTTGCCAATGTATAGCATGTGCTACAGAGGTCGCTGAGTTTGAATGTTAACCATAAAATAAGCTGTTCCTGCACTCAAACAGTGTTTAAAAGTTCAAGTTAACAAGATTGAGCAAAATACATTACAACTGCTTGTTTGGAAAAAATTACCTATGTACTCAGTTTGAAGGACTGAACAAAATTAGGAGGTTTTAGTATTTTTTCAATCCATTTTCATAAAGGCAGGGTCCCTAAGATCTTCATTTGAAATATATGGAGTTTGACAGATAATTAGGTCAAACATTCTTTTGTGTTTTCTTATGGATGTTTCAAGCTGTTTTTAACAAAATGTGAGTACTTCCAAATTTGGGGCTCTTAATGAAGCATCTGAATCCTGGAGTGATCATGGGACTGTTCTTTTCTGAGCTGGTTTTGAGCAGTGGTTTTGCATGGCTTGATAAAATTGTTCAAGAATACTGGAAATAGGTTCTGCTTGCAACCAAGTGACAGGCTAAGAGATTTAAAGGCCTTTTTGTCAGGCTTTTTCTTTTCAATCTGCTTGTGTTCAGTGCTTGGCTTGCATAATGCATGTCATGGAAGGAGTGGCAATTACCCCGGCTTGGGCTGGGGAAAAACCCGCATTTTCACATCTGATTACAGCTGTAATCCCTGCAACTTGCTTCATATGGGTGGACCTCTGGATATGTGCACACACATCAGCCCAATGCCACACAAGCAGAAAATTCTGCACACATGCAAAAAGTTAGAGAACCACAGCCAAAGCCCAGGATTGTGTCTTATACAAGTAATCCCACTGAAGTCAGTGGGATGGCTCAAGCAAGTAAATATCGCAGAGTTGGACCTTCTTGTAGAAGTCAGGGCTTAAAGAAGCCTCAAGTGAGCATCAGGAAGTCAGTAATAAAATACTTTAACACTGGGCTTTAGCAGCATTAAGGTTTTAAAGGCTGGGAGTAGTTTTATTTAGAGGCTTCTGTGATTTACTTTTTTTTTAGAGTCCCCACATATAAGGGGAAACTGAAGAAGTAAGTGCCTTTTGAAAATCTGTGCTAAACAGGGATCCCACCCTCCTTCTTTCTCACAGTTATTATATGAGGGGGGGTTTAATTATGCAGCATTTCACATAATTCTGATTATACCAATTGAACATTTCCAGCAAGCCCACGTGACTTGGGCACCTATACTCCATTTTCAAGGAGGTCTTAGCCTTGAGGTGCTTCACTGATCCTTAAACGCTGATCATGTTAAATGGAACAAAAAAAAAAACCCCAGCTTTGGGAGGTTTTGCTCTTGGGATGCTACTGTTTCTCATGCACACATTGTATCCACGGAGGGCCAAATCCTTTGCTATTGTAAAAGCCTTTGGCTGCAGTAATAGATGGACTTGGCTCCTTGCAGTTAAACAGACAGTACTTCTGTTGTGCATTAACAGGAATTGGGTGATTCAGTAAATGCATGAATTAGCTGTTTTCCTTTGGGTTTGCCTTTTCATAGCTACAGTAACTTTGGAGTTGTCAACTCAGCATGTAGTCAATCCTTTAGAGAGTGTCCACTTACCCCTTGGGGAGGAAAACCCTTCCAAGCTACAACTCACTGCCACATTTCACAAATCGCTGGTGTCACCTGCAAGAGAAGAAAATATTTTCAATCCTCCTGCTGAGTCAGAGTCTGTCAGAAACAAGTCCCTCAAAATAACTTGAGGACAGGACCTTCAACAAGTGGATCTTGGCATCAGAAAGTCAAGTTTGTCACTTGTAAGTCCCTCAGCAGCAGAGGAGTTGCAATGAGATTTAGCTTGCTTGACTGTGACTAATTACATTAGTCAACTCCATTCTTTTTTTGTATAGGACCATTAAAGTAATACCCTGAGCAGCCCAAGATGAACCTACACAGCACAGCCTGGTTAATTCAATGATATTTTAATATTTTAAATGTTTCTGCTGCAGTTGGTAGCACCATGATGCTTTGTTAATCCGTCTCTGTAATGGTGACCTGAGATTAAAATTACTGCCCTCTGGATAATTTAATGTTTTTGGGCAGAGGAATAATGAAGATGCAGAACAGACTATTTAAAATCTTTCCTGAACTTGCTGGTGTGCATTGATATGAATAGTTGCTGAGTATAGCCTTGTTTGAATTTTGCAAAGTCTTGTATAAATAAGTAGTCCTGCTGTTATAAACTCTAACCGTTTATTTTGTGTCTCACAATATAAATTGTCCTTCCTAGACTGCAGTCCCTGGAGTCACACGATTAAAAAGCATGTGAATGAATTTCCAGCTGTCATGGGATCCTTCCCCATTGCTAGAGTGCTAATGGGAGAGAGGATGAAGTCCAGGGGCACAGAGTCCCCTTAGTCCCTCTGGCAAACAGAGGCTGGGAATGAAAGAGATTCACCTGTTGGAAGGCAGGGAACGAGATCCAGATTTCAGAGAAACTTGTTGCTTTTCATAAGGAGATTTTCATTCTGGTCATGCCAAAGATCATCCAAGGATTCAGCCAAGGAGAGATGGAATAACACAGGGCATAGGACAAGGCAAGGAGAAAGCAATGGTTTTCTCACTTTGCCCCCCAGCCTGCTCACAGCAAACAATATCTTGGGAACTTCGAGACAGAGGCGCTCTCTGTGTATCATGGAGTCACAGAGCAGTCCGAGTGGGAAGGGACCCGACAAGTTTTGCTGTTCCTGCACAGCAGTGCTGTAGCAATTGCCATTTTTCTAGCCTTACCAAGGTATTGCATTTCCCTTTGTGTCACAGGTTGAGCTCACTGAATACACTTGACTGTTTTTCCAAAACAAAGAATCCCCAGTAACCAAATTTATTTCTCTTTTTCTCCACAGCAATGCACAGATGGCTATGAATGGGATCCTGTTAGGCAACGGTGCAAAGGTACAGTAAATAATTTTCAAAGACAGACTTGCCACTGGTATTCTTTAAGTATTCTCACTGCACACCCCTGTTTTGGACACGGAGGTGTGCGTGCATGTCTCGTCGTGTTCTTTGTGTTAATGGCTCTTGCAGAAGGTTCGACTGTTAAAAGCATGACTTGTGTTGTTGCTAACCACAGATATTGATGAATGTGAAATAGTCCCAGATGCATGTAAAGGTGGGATGAAATGTGTTAACCACTATGGAGGATACCTCTGTCTACCCAGAACAGCGCAAATTATTGTAAATGAGCGAGAAGAAGCAGCAGCTGAATCCACAAGTGGTCGAAACAGCGTCATTCGCCGGACCCCGGCCGACCCCCAGCGCGCCCCTCCCAACCCAACCCACCAAATCCAGTGTGCAGCTGGGTATGAGCAAAGTGACCACAACGTGTGCCAAGGTAAGCCAGTGCCTGCCTCGGTCCTGCTGCCCTTGCAGTGGCAGTGGGGGTGACCACAGAGCCAGGGGAATACTGCCTGTAGCCCTTGCACTGACTGGAAGGGACTCTTGCTCCATTAACGCCTTTAAAGATACAAAAATAAAACGCGTGATTGTCACTGTTGTTGTTCAAGGTATCAGAATGTGCAGTTTGTTGCAGCCTTACAGTCTGTTCCATCTATTTTGGGCTAACGTGTTGAATTAATTCTGTTGTCTGCAGCTCCTAAAAAAGCCTCTTAAAACAACCTGAGTTGCATTTTGTGTTGTATTAAGTATGTCTAGGAAAGAAAGTGCTCTGAAAAGAGTGGGCAATGCAGCAAGGCATAAACAATTTGGAAAGGTTTGCAGAACTCTGTATTTTTCAGCAAGCGAATGCTGAATGAACAAAAAATAACCACAGGATGAACTTTTGTTTAGAGCACGCTGCAGTGCAGAAGGGTCCTATATTTTTAATTGTGGATAAGGAATATTCCTCCAGCAGCAGGAACCCAACTTCTGAACAGCCTGTGCTCTTCTGATCTCTGTGGAAGCAGCCCTAGGCAGACCCTGCCAGTTCACTTCCAGCCCTAGCCTGGCCACTCTTTGAAACTATGGCAATGAAGAGCTTTCATCTGAGTGTACATACACCACACACAGTGCCAAAAGTTCTCAGGGCATTAGCAATGTTAATTGTATGCATTCAGGAACCAGCCTCACCAGCACTACTGTAAACTAAGACTGTTTCATTTATTATTTTATATAAATAGTTTACTCTTCTACTTGCTGAAGTAACAAATGTTTTGGCCATTGTTTTGTTTTCTTTCATAGAAATATATTCTACCCCTTGCTCACAAACTTGCTTTTCAAGCACATTGGAGGGACACCCGTGCAAAGAGAGGGCAAAACCTGACCCCATTGTTCATCTTTTCCACTTTGTGGCCTGCAGCAGTATAATCACATAAAATAGTACTTTAGGGACTGTAATCAGGGCAGGCTGTAATACACAGTGGTAGTTTCCTTCTCCCTGGTATTCATGTACACAGGACATTATTTATCACTAGTAAGTAAATTCCCTGTCATTCTGGAGAACAGTAATCATCATGGAGGCTGGAGGAGTTATTTTTGTAGGCAAAGCCTCAGAGTTGCATTTCTGGCTTATCTGCTCATGTCCAACATTTCTGTCACTCTGATTCAAGAATGTCAAGCACAGAACCTACCACAGGAGGTCAGATC